GCAAAAATTATAACAGGTGACAGATAGCGGGGCGGATGCAACGTGCGGCGCGGGCGTGTTGTTGCACGGCAGAGGCAGCTCGTGGCTCTCCGCTACCAGGTGAACGCACGTTTCACGTTTGGATATTTTCCGAATTTGTTCGATGGTATTTGCCTCGAGACTCGAGTTCCTCGCGTTCCTTTCGCCCCTTCTATTTTTTTTTTTGCCCCATTCTCGTCCGAAAACGATTCATTGGGCATCGAAAATGCGAAAACCGCGTGGAGAATCTGTCGATTTTTTTTTTTTTTACCCTCTAAATTGAACGGAAAAATTTAACAAAAGATCGGTACTTTTCCAATTTCTATGAAAATTCGTTTAATTAATTTAATTTATCTTATATATAATCTATATCAATTAACTTTTCTATCCGAGCTTTTCAATCAACATTCCAAAGAATGGCGGTCATTCAATTGGTAATTACTCTGATCGAGGGATCTTTTTAATATATAGGATGAAGAAGAGTGACCCATATCCTACAACTTATCTAATTTTCCTTATTATTATTTAACTTATTATTTCAACTCTCGAACGGCCAAGATCTAATTCTCCTTTATCCAATTAATGTTATCGCGTTAACCCTTAAGTCAAGCGAGGGTGAAAAACGGCCAAACGGTGTCACGAGGGTTGAAAAGAGAAAAGAGGAAAAAGAAAAAGGACCATTTGCCTCTTTGATCACGAATTAATAGCATTGGAGTCAAAAACGTCACAAAAGACGAAGACGATAGGATAAGGAGCGGTTTTTAAGGGTTCGAAGAAAGGAGAACGACAGAGAGAGAGAGGGAGAGAGAGAGAGGATGTACAGGCACGAGCACTTAGGCAAGCCCTAAAATACGAGGCCGCCCTTTGTGTTTGCCAAACCTGGAAGCCTTTGGAATTTCTAAAGCGTCCATTCGACAATTCACCTCTCCCTTGTACCTTGGTAATGGGATAAACGATGCTTGGCCTTTGGTCGTTACACAACTTAATCGAGCCCGAGCTTTTATCGATCCGCCATAGTGATAGCGGGACAATGGATCCTTTCAGAATTCCACGATTTTTCTTCCACCGGTGAATTTCACTTTGGGGACCAACGTCCAAATATTTGACGGAGTGGAAGTGTAGGCAATCTGGAATTTTATTTTCGAATTCTTTCTTTTATGTATGTGCGTGTTATATATGTTCCAATTTTCTTTTTACATTTTTTTGAATAGTAGGAAAAGTATAGTCATGGGCCAAATATTCGGTGGAGGAAGTAGTAACTTGGACCGAAATTTTATTTTTGAATTCTTTCGCAGCTTTTTATACGTTTGATACACACATATATATATATATATAAGAGGAGATTTCAATGAGTGTTCTGAGATTTTTCAAAAAGTAAGAAAAAAAAAAAAAAAAATAGTAGATATAAATAACTCGATCTCTTTTTTCAAATTTTTTGGAAAATCTATAAGAATAATAAAAGTAGTAAATCGAAGAGTCAAGAGCGATAATATAAAGAGTGAAGTAATTTTTAATATGATTTCTGTTGACAGACGCCTGTTCATCGCGGTCGACGCCGAAACCGCGGCCACCGACGCCGACGCCTCGACCGAATATCACATTCCACATGTACACGTGTCCACCGGATTACGCGGAGTACTACTGCTTGAACGGTGCCACGTGTTTCACTGTCAAAATCGTCGATTCCCTCCTTTACAATTGTTTGTAAGTACAGTGAGACAATTTTTCTTTGCTCGTTTTCCCTTACCCTTTGCGCCCAGGAAGAGAGACTCTTGGCACTCTTGGAAGACGATAGGTGTGCAAGGTATCAGGTGTTTCGCGATACGTGTTAGTTTATATCACGTTCCACCGGTGTATTTACTGTTACCTTTGGAGAATCGAGTTTGAGATATAATTTATCCATGATCTCTATTGTATTCCAAAATACTCGTTTGAAACGGTATAAAATGTTATATAAAGCGGTAAACAACGAAAATGGAAAAAAAAAATGATAAACGCAGGATTTTTATAATTAGTAAGGATGATGGATACGTGTGTTGATGTATGCTTTTTTTTTCCCCCCCCCGCGGTAGAATCACTGCATAGCAAAATACCTTTCACTATCAAATCTGCTATTAACCTTTCGTACATTCTACAACATTCCTCGAGACCTTTTCGAGAAAGAATCACACACGATTTTCACTTCGAAATATACCTATGCTCGAAGATCACGCGCGCTCATGAGAATGTATCGAGGTTTACACGGTATAAATTTCATGCGGTAAATATCGTTATGCGTATCGTAATTATTTTTATTTTCTATTTGCTTACTTAGTTTAAGAAAAAAAAAAAAAAAAAAAAAAAAAAAAAAAAAA